GTTCAACAAGTCCGCCGCCACGCGAAAATACACCTTTGAGGAGCTGGCTACTCTCCTGGCGAAGATCGAGGCCTGCCTGAATTCGCGGCCACTCGCGTCAATGTCCGAAGACCCTGCTGACCTGCTAGCTCTTACACCCGGGCACTTTCTTGTGGGAGGCCCACTTCTCGCCACGGTCGAGCCCGAGATAAAGGGGGACACCAATTCCATCATCAATCGTTGGCAACACCTCAAGGCGCTTCAGCAGCAATTTCAGCTCCGATGGAAGGAGGAGTACCTCAAGGAGCTCCATAAGAGAAACAAGTAGCGAGCCCCTACGAGGGACCTCCGCGTTGGGGATATGGTCGTCATCAAGGAAGACAATCTTCCGTCCAATGAGTGGCGTTTAGGCAGGGTTGACGCGGTGTATCCCGGCTCTGATGGCCATGTCCGCGTGATCGACATCCGCACCGCGCGAGGGCTCGTTGTTAAGGTCGTGCTTCTTCCGTTGGACGCGTCCGCCTACCCACAGTAATCAACATTTCTTCCGCTCCAATGTTTCTGTCCATTGTGCAGTCCCGTAGCTCTGCCCGTAGTTCCGAACCTTCATTTACACCGATTCTGATCATGTTATTTGTTCCTTCATCATATTTCCGTCAGCCATAGCCAACACCATGTCGCCACGTCCACGCAACACCCACGCATCGCTGGAGAGCAGATGTACTCGAGGTATTAAATCCTACCGTTGCCGAGTCTGCAATGGAATCCACGCCTTAATCCGTCCATTCTCCTCGGTAATTCCAATGCTAACATCTGCGGGTCGCTTCTCGGTCAGGAGACCATTTTTGGATGGGTGCTGACCGGCCCATTATCTCCAACCAACCCCCGCAGCGTGTCTGTTTTTTCCACACGAGTTTCCCGCAGCCTTAGTGACTCAGTGGATTCCAAGGTCATATTCAGCACTATGTCGCCACGCCCACGCAACGCCCAGTCACTGGAGAGCAGATGTACTCGAGGTGTGCAATCCTACCGATGCCGAGTCTGCAATGGGATCCATCCGTTGAAGAAGTGTCGGCGCTTCCTACGCCTTAGCGCCGAGAAGCGGCTCCGAGCGGTTCTTGTGAACCGGTATTGCTCGAGCTGCCTGGCCCACGAGCACTCCGACGGATCTTGTCGGCGGGGTGACGGTTGTAAGACGTGTGGTCAGGATCACCACACGCTGCTGCATCTCGTGGAGAAGCCGTGGGCTCGGCGCAAGGCACGCCAAGAGGAGCACCGGTCACGGAGCGCGGGAGTCAGGACACAGAGTGTTTCGTCTGGCGCCCGGCCGTCATCCACCAACTCCCGGCGCGGTTCGGGTGCTCCCCGGCCTGGGTCCGCCACTTTCCGGCAATCCCAACCCGATCCACGGCCACCGACGTCCCGGCACTCGTCGATACATCCTCGGCCTTCTTCCGCCACTCCTCGGTTGCCGACCACCGCTCATCCGCCCGCGTCATCCGCACCTAGGCAAAGTTCCGCCTCTCGCCGAGTGCCCCCGCTGGACGCGGTCGCTGCGCCCACCCTCTCGTCTCGGATGAGCGATTCCATCTGCCAGTGACAATCTCCGTCGTCCTGGGCGCAGATATGTACCCACGGATTATCCAACCGGGCTTCCTGAAGATCCAGGACGGACTGCCAGTGGCCCAGAGCACCGTGTTTGGATGGGTCGTGTCCGGGGCCTGCCACCAGCCATAACACCGAGGGAGCTATTGCATGCAAGGGGTGCGGAATGTTTAGGTGAGGGCCCGTGGTGCCGGGCCCGTGCTAAAGAGCGCACCCGCGCTGAAGAGCGCATCCACACTCGCCCCTCTGTGCCCTCTCTTCTCGCTCGTTGGTTGTCGTCGATCTCTTTTTGTACTAGTTTTTAAGTTGGCAATTCGATGTACGCAGCCAATAAAGCTGAACGCGTTTTTTGTACTTGAACTGAAGACGCCCCCGACTTGTTATTTTCAACCCCCATTCTGGAGTCTTTTTGCGGAACCAACGCCCCCCTACACACTACGCTTTATATATATTTTTTCAAAATCGGACCACCGCGGCTAATTTTTTTTCATTATTATCTAGTCAATTATTTTTATCAACAGAAACCAAATCTCAACGCATAACTTGAACTGCTCCATAACCTTTTGGCTCCACTGTACCAAATTAATATTTGTTGAACAAATTGTTTCATTACCCACAGTTTCCGCGGTACGCCTAAAAGAAGCTATTGATCCAAATTTTTATACCTTTGCAAAGGGTATTATAATTTTGTCCAAAAGTGTGCAACGCAGTGAAGGAGACATCTCCGACCCTATAAAGTATATATGTTCCTGATAAGGATCACCTCCTGAGTTGATATGAGCATGTCCGTCTGTCTGTCTATTTCTACGCGAATTAGTCTCTCAGTTTTAAAACTATCATCTTGAAACTTTGCACACACCCTTCTTTCCTTTGCACGCAGTGTGTAAGTCGGAACGGCCCGGTTCGGCCGACTATATCCTGTAGCTGCCATATAACTGATTGATCGGAAATGATATAACTTTGGTGTTTTTAGAGTTAGAGAGTTCAAATTTGACACGAGAGCTATTTTTGGCAAAACATTACGACATGCCAAATTTCGGCCGACTATATCCTATAGCTGTCATATAATTGAACGATCGGAAATGGTATTTGGTAGAAATATCAACTTTCGTATTTTTTAAGATAGAAGCTTGGGACTTTTTTTTAGATTTTTTATTTTAATTAATTGGTTTTATTATGATGTAATCAACAGGATCGACCAACTATATCCGATGTTTTATTATGTAGACCGTAGACCGGCTTTGACCATCATCGGGTTTAGTACATATAATTTTTTAAAATGTGCCAAAAATTTGGCATAAGGAAATACTAAATTAAAATTAGAATAGGACAAATTGGAATACTATTATTAGTTTTATTGAATTAATTAGAAAAATGACATTTAATTTTTGTAATTGTCATGGCTACCTAAGTCCGTTTACAACTTTGGAATGAAATATTAATATAGCTTAGTAACCTTTATTACCCTTTTATTAGGCTTAGGTAGCCATAAAATACAAAACAAAAGCTTAACAAGAAAGGAAAGCTAACTTCGGGCGGAGCCGAAGTTTATATACCCTTGCAGTTAAAACCGGATATATATCGCAACCATCGGATATAGTTGGCCGATCCTTATCTGAATAGGAATATATAATCCAATTTATTACAATACAAATTCTAAAAAAAGTCCCAAACTTCTATCTTCGAAAATACCAAAGTTGGTATTTCTACCAAAAAACATTTCCGATCGTTCAGTTATATGGCAGCTATGAGATATAGTCGGCCGATCCTAATGAAATTTGGTAGGTTGGATTAACTGACCAAAAATAGAATCTGTATTAAATTCCAGCTTTCTATCTTCAAAAACACGAAAGTTGGGTTATTTCCGATCGTTCAGTTATATGGCAGCTATAAGATATAGGCGGCCGATCCTTATGAAATTTGGCATGACGTAATGTTTTGCCAAAAATAGCTCTCATGTCAAATTTGAACTCTCTAACTCTAAAAACACAAAAGTTATATCATTTCCGATCAATCAGTTATATGGCAGCTATAGGATATAGTCGGCCGATCCGGGCCGTTCCGACTTATATACTGCGTGCAAAGGAAAGAAGGGTGTGTGCAAAGTTTCAAGACGATAGCTTTAAAACTGAGAGACTAGTTCGCGTAGAAACAGACAGACGGACAGACGGACAGACGGACATGCTCATATCAACTCAGGAGGTGATCCTGATCAAGAATATATATACTTTATAGGGTCGGAGATGTCTCCTTCACTGCGTTGCACACTTTTGGACAAAATTATAATACCCTCTGCAAGGGTATAAAAAGTGAGAAAAAAACTATAATTTTATTTCTCTAATTTTATATCTGAAGATACTGATGCACTCTTCACTCCTTTCGACCAATGGGGACAGTGAGAGGGACACTAAAAACGACTGCGAAAGTTGAAAGTGGTGTACTCAAAAACTTTCGTTCATGCGGCCAGTGCAGTGAGAAAATAGATATGAACAACGTTCTCTCCAAAAACGTGCTAGCTTAATTCACGTAGGTGCCAGTGGCTAAGCAGAGCCAACTGCCTTCTGCTTTTCTTAAGGTTCAATCGGTTTTGCACAGTTACGAAAAAAAAAACAAAATAAAAAAAAATAAACAGCGTTTTGTCGCCGAGGGATTTCAGGTGTCTTGTAGCGACTGTTTCTTCAACCAAGACGAACAGAAAGCGTCATACGGGTTGGATACTGTTGCTGCTCGTAACAGATAAATTTCCGAGTGATTAATCGCAGTTGGAACTTTCGTTTTTGCAGATATAGGACGACTTTGATGACTTCGATGATCAAAAGGATGAGAATCTACTCCCCATGATGTGGGTCTCAATTAGGACCCTAGAGCTGACCTTAGGAACTATAAATCGAGCTGTGTCAAAGCTTTTTCTTACTGCTGCTAAAGGACGCTGTTGAAGGCCCAGCACAGCCACGAAAACAACAACCTAAAATTGTAATAAGTATACGTATCCCATGCGCGTTTGGGAATTTATGTAAAGCTTTTGCGGCCAAGCTCATTATTATGCACGCGACCCCCGTCTCGACCCTTCCTGAGAGTCTACCTTGTCATGCATAAGAATGGAATGCCAATGTCTCCGTGTTTTTCTACGTTTATTTGAGCGGCTGCGGATTTTAGGGTTGAATTTAACCCTCGCATAAATATTGGAAATTAATCAAGCTCTTGTAATTTTTTCAGTGATTAGATGCTAATAAGTAGTTTTGAGTATATTTCAGATTTGTATGTAAGTTAAAAAATTGAGGTGTAAAATTTTGAAAAAAAAAATTTTTATTTCGTGCTCCTCTAAACATCATAATTCAAAACTTGTATGCTTTATTATAAAAGGATTTTTATTTTAATGTTAATATTATAACTTTGGTTTACCTTTTACCGCTTAGGTAAATTTTCCCGTCCCATAATCATGAACAAAAAACAATCTGAAGGCAAAACCTGGTGGGAAATGTTTGACTATTGTGAAGATACATTTTATAATGACATTTTATCTGCATTACCAAAAAGCGGCCGTGATGATGGGGTGGTACTTTATGTATTTAATGATAAATCTTTTCCGTCGGCCATGAGTTTCCTTGAAAAAACAGGGTAAGATTTAATCCAATTTAGTTTAAAAAATTTTATATTTCATATTAAAACAGGATTATTGGGCTATATACGACATTCGTATATGTTGTTTCTAGAGTAATCCGATCACTGATTGCAAACAACCATAGGCGAATAATGTTTGAAGACTTGCCATATGTCGACAGGGTTTTAAAATTATGCAATGATATATATTTAGTTCGTGAAACCCAGGAGTACCGACTGGAGGAAGACTTATATGGGAAGCTAATATTTCTATATCGATCGCCTGAAACTCTTATAAAATGGACACGGTTCAAAGAAGACATTTCGGACGAAGCAACTGAAGCTAACGTAAGACGCACTTACGGCGCCACATTTAATGAGAGCTCCAACCAAGAGCCACCTGCAGAAAGATTAAATTAATCGTTCTTTATAAATGTATAAATTCTTCATATACTTACTGTTTACTTTTTCTCCATTACTTTAATATATATTATTATACACGCGACTCGTAGAGTCCATGGCTATATTTTATTCATGTTAATGTATGTAACATATAGATGCATCATCTGGCAACGCACACCAGAGCTTTTATAATTAGTTGCCCAGGGAGCTTTACCCGTTAAAAAATCGGGAAAAATAATAAATGTTTATAACCAACTTGTATGCAAAATTAAAGTTTGAGAGTTCGGATTTCTTATGAATGCTATTTTTGGCAAAACAGTACGGCGTACCAATTTTACAGGGATCGGCCGTCTATATCCTATAGCTGCCATAAAACAGAACAATCGGAAATGACCCAAATTTGTGAAGATGATGAACTTTGTCAGTTGATCCGAACTACCATATTCCATAACGATCGGCCAAATATATCTTATAGCGGCCATATAACTGAACGATCGGAAATGTTATTTTGTATTTGGTAAAAATACCAACTTGGGTATTTATGGTATGAAGATAGAAGCTTGGGACTTTTTTATATTATTATAATAAATTGCTTTTATTATGATACAAGCAACCCCGGAAAACGTCGTTTTGCCCTAAAAGTTTTTTTTTTTGCTCTAGAAATTTTTTTTTTTATTTTATTTTGGTTACCAAATATTTTTCAGTATTGCCAGTACATACAAGTTATCCAACCCCTAAATACAGGCCACATATGGCTTTTATAAACAATATTTTCAATCTCTGCATTTGCCTTTGGCTTGATCTTTGGCTCAATTATCCAACCCATAAATCCAGGCCACTTATGGCTTTCCACTTATGAATTGTATAAACAATATTTTCAAACTCTGCATTCGCCTTCGGCTTTGTCTTTGGCTCTGAGGTCCGATCTCGGTTCCCCATAAACAAATCAAAATCAAAAGTAAACATCAGCTTCCCTCCGAAGCCCAATCAATTACGCCTTTTGCGTTTCAAGTACCCACCAAATTGCATCGATCAGCTTAATCGAATTTCACAATAATATGCGACAGTTTCATCTTAAGCCTCTAATCTAAACACAACTGATGGCCGAGGTTCTTTGGATAAGATTTAGAATTAAGAAGTCAGTCCTATTTTGACCAAGACCGCGAACGGTTGACAAAAATATTTAAGAAAAATCAAAAGTGTCTTGTAATTTTTGCGTTTAATAAATAAAGGTTTAACACCAAGTTGTGAAGTTAAAAAATAAAATTCATTTTTTTAATTCACCGAACTACAAACAATTTAACTGGCGCCCAACTCAAGGGGCCGCGTCACATAAAGCTCCAAAAAATAGTTTAATGAAAAATAAGTTAAACATAAACGGAACTCGCGCGGTCAACAACTCAACATTTTTAGTGGAGTAATTAAAACATCCACCAAACGACACTACCAAGTGACAGTGATCGTTAACAATAAAGTAGATGGAAATTAATTAATGAAATAATAATAAAGAGTGAATTAAAACAAAGGTGGACCGAAATTTTAAATCAAACAATTACAAGAACACAAAAACTAAAAAAAATCAACGCACAAAAAAAACAAACAAGAACAACAAAAACAAATAAAACGACAACTCCAACAAGAAAAACTAGGAAAGGAAGGCAGGACATTCTCAAATAAAAACGACAACTCGCTCCAACAAAAAAACCCAAGGAAGGAAGACAGGACATTCTCTATCAACCACCAACCACACAGAAGGAAGACCCCAACGGGACAATATCGTGAGGAATTAATTTAAAATAATAAAAAAATTAAAGACTAAAATTTAAGATCTGTAAATTTGAGAAAAATAATATAAGATTTATATGTTGCAAAAAGTAAGATTCGCGATTTAACAAAAAAATATAAAGAATAATTCTGGAAGATTTGATAAATAGCTTTTGTGAATTAAATTTAACAATGCCAACCGGAGGTTCAGCACCAAATTTTTCTGCAGGCAGTGTAGCCACAGCCGGCGGTTTAACAGTGGAATTGATAAACAGATTAATAAACGCTCAATTGAATGAAGTTAGCAGGAAAGTAAAATGTTTAGAAGGAAGGCTAGAAACAGATACAAAAACTGTGGAAGATTATAAAACACAAACAATTGACCCACCTATAAAATGCGATACAATACTTGAAGTGGTAAAATCCTTACCTAATTTCACAGGAGAACCAACACAATATGTAGGTTGGAGGAGGGAAGCTGCAGAAACTGTAATGAGTCTCTATAAAATTGAAAGTGAACAATATTTTATCGCCCTAACAATTTTACGAAATAAAATTATGGGAGCTGCCCATGATGCTCTTACCAATCATGGCACAGTTTTAAACTTTGAAGCAATCTTATCTTTTTGGCAAAATAATAATCAAAATAATAATCATAAGCAACAAGCTATCGAGCCAATGGATGTTGATCCACCGATTCAACTCCAGAATAAATCTAATAACAATCGGCAGCCGAGCCAAAATTGGCAGTCAAATAGTAACCAGGGAAGATATAATAATTGGCAGGCAAACGATAATCAAGGTAGATATAATAATAATTATCATCAAAATAAAAATCGTTCAAATTTTTATAACACAAATCAAAATAGAGAGCAAAACTCAAGCTCAAAAAAGGGAATCAGATGGAACAGAAAGTCAGCCAGCTAATAAAGTAACCAGATTAAATAATATCAATGAAGACCATTTTTTAGACCAGACCCCTACAGAGGAATGCCTTATTTAAATAGGATAGATCGAAAAACCAAGAAGCAGCTAAAAGTTTTAATAGATACAGGAGCCACTGCTTGTTACATAAAAAGGGGAATTTTTGAAAATAAAAACGAGCTACCAATATACAAAAAGGTAACAACAGTTCATGGCTACTCAATTATTAGGTATTACCTTATTATAAATATATTTGAAACAAAACAATTATTTTATGAAATCGAAGGTTTAGAATCTGATATTCTAATTGGATTCAATCTATTAAGAAAAATTGGAGCTATAATAAATATAGATAAGGGAATCTTGGAATATAATGGGAAACAGGAGAAGTTAAAATATTATGATAATGAGGAGAAAAACGAAATACGTTTAATTGAAGAAAATAATATTCTTCCGTTAAAAGAATTTATTATAAAAAAGTATTTTGATGATAATGGTAGAGAAAAGACAGATTCATTATTTGTTGAAAATAGTGAGAAAAGCTTGGGAGTTAAAAATCCCAAGAACGCCGACGTAGAAATATCCGTCAACAAAAATACAAATATCTTGGGAACAAAAAATCCCGAGAACGCCGACGTAGAAATATCCGTCAACAAAAATACAAATGTCTTGGGAACAAAAAATCCTGAGAACGCCGACGTAGAAATATCCGTCAATAAAAATAAAAATATCTTGGGAATTAAAAATCCTGAGAACGCCGACGTAGAAATATCCGTCAATAAAAATAAAAATATCTTGGGAATTAAAAATCCTGAGAGTGCCGACGAAGTAAATACCGTCAAAAATCAAATAAATAATATAGGTACCGACCAATTAGGCGGACTGAGGGAAAAGATAGTTCACTATATTGAAAAGGAGCATTCAAAGATAAATATGCAAATTCCTTTTAGAACAGACATAAAGGGGGAAATAAATCTAATCCATGATAGGCCAATATACGGGAAGCAATATCCGTATGCTCTATCTGTCAACGATTTCGTGAATAGCGAAATCAAAAGAATGTTATCAGAAAAATAATAAGGCCTAGCAGAAGCCCTTACAATTCACCACTTCTGGTAGTCCCAAAGAAAGGAGAGAATCAAGACGGAAGCCGTAAATTAAGACTCGTCATTGATTACAAAAAATTGAATGAAAGTACTATACCTGACAGGTACCCAATGCAAGACCCATCAGTAATTCTATCAAATTTGGGAAAAGCAAGATATTTTTCAACAATAGATTTAGAGTCAGGATTTCATCAGATACTAATGAAAGAATCTGATGTCGAAAAAACAGCCTTTTCAATAAATAATGGAAAATACGAATTTTTAAGAATGCCATTCGGATTAACAAATGCGCCAAGAATCTTTCAGAGAGCAATGGACGATATTCTAAGAGAACAAATAGGGAAAACGTGTCATGTCTATATGGACGACATTATAATATTCTCAAACTCAATTGAACAACACTATACAGATCTAAACAAAATTATAAATATATTATTGAGGGCAAACATGAAAATCTCTTTAGAAAAATCTAAGTTTTTCAAACGCGAAACCCGTTTTCTTGGATACATGGTATCCTATAACGTCATCAAGACAGACCCAGAGAAAATTGAAACCATTAGAAAATATCCGCTTCCAGAAAATATTCGGGAACTAAGAAGTTTCCTAGGTTTTACGGGCTATTATAGAAAATTTGTTTCAAACTACGCCTACATAGCCAAACCTCTAACAAAATATCTTGGAGGTCATAATGGCAAAATCTCAAAAAGAATGTCAACAAAAATATTAATTCAGCTGGATGAACCAGCAATTAAAGCTTTTAACGAGCTGAAAGAAAATCTCATTGCTCAAGTAGAACTAGTTCAACCGGACTATAATAAAAAATTTACCTTGACCACCGACGCTTCAGACGTCGCAATTGGTGCAGTTTTATCTCAAGAAGGAAAACCAATTACTTTTATTTCAAAAACCTTGTCTAAAACAGAAAAAGCTTATGCGACTAATAAGAAGGAACTTTTAGCAATAGTATGGGCTCTTAAAAATCTAAGAAATTACTTATACGGAGTAATTGGAATTGAAATTCAAACCGACCATCAAACTTTATCTTACACAATTTCGGATAAAAATCCCAATGTAGATATGAAAGGATGGTATTCTTTCATACAAAGCTTTACACCGAAAATAACATTTAAGCCCGGTACAACAAATGTAGTTGCAGACGCATTATCTCGAATTCAGATAAATAATATTACTGACAGCGATATAGAACAAACAGACCAGTCAGACTCAGATCAGAACACACAGCATTCAGCTGAAAGTAGTTTTGAAAAT